AACAATGAGATAACATTTTTTGCCATTCATAGTGATAAAGGTTTTATTAAAAAAACAGTAATGGGGCCGGCCTGGTGGCGCACTGCGATAGTGTGCTGCTTGGGAAGCATGGTGGCGCTCCCGCCGAGGGTTCGGATCCCACATGCAGACCGGCCGCTCACTGGCTGAGTGAGGTGCGGGGGCAGCGCCAAGGGTTGCGATCCCATTGCCGGTCCCAGTCTGGTGCGGGCGCGACACTGAGGGTTGCGATCCGTTGCTGGCCACGAAAAAAGACAAAAAGGAAAAATAAATAAATAAATAAAAATAAAAAAAAAATAAAATAAAATAAAAAAACAGTAACCAGGGTTGGCAAATGTGAGGAAAAGAGTATTCTCATACATGGTTAGCAGATGAAATTGTTAAATCCTTTTTGATTTAGTAGCATGTATCGCAATTTCAAATACAATATGTCATTTCTTAACGTAACAGCTTCACTTCCTGGACTAGATCCTACAGGAAAACATAACTTGTGTAAGCACATATTCACACATGCACGTTAAGGACATTTATTATATATTATGTGTAGCAAACTATAGGTCAATATATATAATATATAATGTGAAGGATATATAATATATGTATGTTAAGGCTATTTATTATAGCATTGTCATATCAAAAAGTTGGTGATAGTCTAAATATCCATCATAAGGAAATAGTTAAATTGTCATACCTATAAAATAATGTAGTATGCAACCATTTAAAAAAAGTTAGATCTATAATGTTCTTATTATTTCACAATTAAAGTATATTTAAAGCATTTCATTTGATGACGCATCTTAAGCAGATTTTGTTAGACATTGATTGGTTGGTGAGTGAGGCCGACAGTCATAGACTGATTGAATAGATTTAAAACTGGTTCTGGGTGGCTACTTGTTACCATGGCTACAGGTCAGTCCTTTCCTAAGTTTGAGGCAACTTTAACGAGATGTGTATATATATATATGTATACACACACACACACACACACATACATATACATATATGTATATATATGTGTATATATATATATGTATATATATTCTTGAAATGTAGACTCACTTTTGAAGTTTAGGTTAAGAGGGATTGGTATATACACACACACACACACACACACACACACACATATATACATATACATATATGTATATATATTCTTGAAATGTAGACTCACTTTTGAAGTTTAGGTTAAGAGGGATTGTTTAATAATTGCTTTCAGGAAGATCTCCCTTTATTTTAGGTGCTCAGTCTTAACTAGAATAGTTATATACATAACTTTTTTGGTAAATGATTGTTAGTTTTGCTTTTGTTTTTGTACTTTTAGGAGCTCATACTCAAATCCTAACATCATAATCTCCAATGGGAAATTTCTATTCCTTTGTAAATTTGTGTGTTTATTTGATAGTGATATCTTATATATGTGTTTACTTCATAAAAAAGTAATTACAATTTTCTCTTGGTAATTCCAGCCTTTTATATTAGGATTAGATACTAGGTTAAAAGTGTATGAAAGTTATCAAATCATTTTATTTTCAAACAAAATCATAATTAATCAGAACATTGCTATTTTTGAACTATGTATAATGACAGATTGGTATTTTGAAAGTAAGGTTTTTTACCCCCCAGGACACTTCCCTTGGTTTCTTCTTTGCTGTGATATGTGCCTCATGCTATTTTAAAAACTTCATTTAAATTAAACATTATTATATTTAAAAACAAAACCAAAAATACAGCACAAATGTAATTATTACTCCCAGGACCTAGAGTCATTTCTTATAGGCAGCGAGGTTCAGTCTTTTAGTGCAGCATAAAAGTTTAGTACAGCATTCACCTCTCATTACTTGCTTCCATTTATTTTACACTTTTCAAATTCCTAGGAAACACCTAGACTCCATGTGCCTAGTCTTTATGCTCACATTCTATTCTCTAAGTAGAATGCTTTTCTCCCACTTTTTTGCCTGTTGAAATATTCTGTATTTTACCTCTACTATAAAGCCTTACTTGTGCTCAGATGTAACTTTTCAAATATCAACTCATATATCACCTTGTATCATAATTATATATTTGCCTACTTTTCGAAGCAGGAATTGTACATTTCTTCATAGGTAGTTGATACTTCATAACTGTTTTTTGAATTGATAAATGAATTAAGAGGGAGAAGAGTTGGAATTTTACAAAAAAAAGTTTTTTATCCTTTGTCAGTGGAATTATTAGAAAACATTGACCTCTTTATGGATTGTTTAAAGTAGCAGTCCTGCCTTGAGTATGATGGAAGTAACAAAAAATGAAAATGAAAAATGGACCTCAAAAGAATCTGTGATTGCACCAATGTTTGGGAAGGCCAATTCGCTAACTGGTGGTCCACTCCAAGTGAATGATGACAGCAGTTTAGGTAAAATAGATCACGATGAAGGAAGGTAAAATCTATAAATTATTTATTTTTCTGTGAAGGAATGTTAGCAGTGATTACTTTTTCTGAGAATAAAGAAGGATAGTATAGTGTACAGGCCAAAGTAAGAGAATACTCAACTATATCAATGCTGTTAAATGCTTGATTAAGATGAGGACAAATGACTTCAAAAAGGAGCAGTTTCAATAAATGGTCGCCATGGACACCTGACTGTATTGGATAAGTGTAGACAGCTCTTTAGGGAATTTTTACTGGGAAAGGCAGTAGAGAAGTGAGTGATAAGAAGAGTATGGGATTCAAGGGAGTTTTCTTTCTATTTTAGTTATAAAATAGAAGCTTTCAGAGTTTATTTGTATGCTGTTGGAAGTGATCCAGTAGAGAAAGATATGTTTATTAAATTTAATTTTGTTTGCATTTCCAAGCAATAGAAAACTTGATACATTTTCTTTTAAAGATTTATAGTAAACTAATTGTCCTTAGAACTTCTGTTCATGTATAGTTTTATGGTAAGAGGTTGTTCATTCAGAATTGGTTCAGAAATGAAATATTCTAGTGTAATTGAACATGTACATGGTGACCTAAAAGTTAAACTATTTTATATAGATTTTAAAAAATTATATCATAATAAACATAAAACACCTAGGCCATGCTTAATAGAATTTAACCATTTCTTGATGATTCTATGTTATTACAGAGCCTTTGACATTATAATAAATAGCTGTGATTTTGTAAGGTATTCTGAATTATCAGGTGTATCAACTCAGTAGTAGTTTAGATTCAGGGGAAACGGGAGGCTTTTATTTATGTGTAATAGAAAGGAAAACTATTGACCATCACAGATTATTACTTTCAATTCTAAAGTTCTAAAATACAGAACTCATGTTTTCTTGTATCAGTAGTGTCATTGACATGTATTATGTGCTCAATAGTTTTTGTTGAATGCATGAATAAACAGTTGAATAGATGAATTCCTTAAGTGATATTTTCCGAGTAAGTTTTAGTGCCAATAATAGCTTATTTTTATTGAAAATGACAATAACTTAAAAAACCTGGTATATTTCTTTTCATCAAATAACATGTTTTTCCTTTTGCTTGTAACAAGTAATACTATGTTTTTCCTTTTGCTTTGACTATCAGAAAGCTTGATCTAAATTTCATTCTTCGTTACAATATTAGTAGTATATTTTATTTGTTTCTTAATGTTACTCTTTCTGTTTATAGTTTAATCCCCCTTGTAGGATATTAGTAATAGTATATTTTATTTGTTTCTTAATGTTACTCTTTCTGTTTATAGTTTAATCCCCCTTGTAGAAAATTATTGTATCTTAATTCCCTGTAAACTATGCATAGGAGAAATAAATAGTTTTAGATATTTTGAGTAGTTTACATATTTAATATTTGTCTGAAAGGAATCATTTATTTTTTAGGCCTGCAAAGGAAAGATCTAATGAAAAGAACAAGGTATTGTAAAAAATAAATTATTAAAAATACTATTGTGATGAAAAAAGTCCATTCTAAAAGGTAAAGTGAAAAAATAGGGAATGTTTTGTTATAAAAACATTACTTTGAAAAAGTGATTAAGAAACAGTGGCCATTGATAAAGGTATCCTTTTGACAAAATTAGCTGTTTTAAGAAGCACTTGTGTTTGTGCTCATATAAAAAGATGGATAATTACCCCTTCTGTACATTTAGTATATACTACAAATATTTTGAGGGCATTTTGAAGTAGTAGTATCATTTATTTTATAGGTCAGAAACCAAATAAATTCTATGGATGACCTCGATGACTTAACTGAAAGGTAAAGTGAAAAAATAGAGAATGTTTTGTTATAAAGACATTACTTTGAAAAAGTGATTAAGAAACAGTGGCCATTGATAAAGGTATCCTTTTGACAAAATTAGCTGTTTTAAGAAGCACTTGTGTTTGTGCTCATATAAAAAGCTGGATAATTACCCCTTCTGTACATTTAGTATATACTACAGATATTTTGAGGGCATTTTGAAGTAGTAATATCATTTATTTTATAGGTCAGAAACCAAATAAATTCTATGGATGACCTCGATGACTTAAC